AACCCTATGGCTATAACTACAGCCCATTGTTCTTAAATGAAGCCGTTGTCTTAGCAAAATGGTTGTTGAAGTAACTGTCTTGTGCAGGACGAATGAAGATCATCAAAGGTCTGTAGCAGCCTGTTTGGTTCAGGGCGTCTCCGTTATGGAGCGTGACCGCCAGGCGGAGCGTGAAGATTCACAAGCTCTGGCTCCTCCTTGGTGGAAGTTCTTTCATTTTGAGTTGCTTCGTCCACTTGTTGATGATGCTGATCGTTCCATCTTTGGTGCCATTTATGAATATAAACCTCCGACCTCTGATTATAATGACTCAATTGAACAGAGCCCTCGTTATGTAATTGCTTTCCGAGGTACCTTGAAGAAAAAAGGCACTTTCGAAAGAGACTGGCAGCTGAATTGGCACTTATTCCTAAATAAACTCCACCAAACATCTCGCTTTAACATTGGCATGCAAGCTGTTCAAGATAGGGTAAATGCTGTTGGTGCTTCAAAGGTCTGGTTAGCTGGACATTCCTTAGGGGCAGCCATTGCAATGCTGGCTGGAAAGACTATGGCCAAAACACGCATATTTCTACAATATTCATTCCTCTTCAATCCACCTTTTGATCCTTTTGTTTCTTTTGTTTCTTTCCTAATTGAAAAAATCAAAAATAAGAATTGGAAGGATGGGATCCGAATTGCACGCAGTGTAATCACAGCAGCACTAGCTCTTGCTTTGAAGGCAAAGAATCAGAACCAGGGGAATGTGTCTGAGGATTCATTTGCTGCTTTGTCTCCATGGTTGCCTCGTCTATTTGTCAATCCAGCCGACCCCATATGCTCTGAATATTTTTGTTATTTTGAGCATAGGGAAAAGATGGAGGAGATTGGAGCTGGATGTATTGAGAAAATAGCAACACAACATTCATTTAGACGTCTACTAAAGATTCTACTAAAGAGTCTACTAAAGAGTCTACTAAAGAGTCTACTAAAGAGTGCTGTGGGGAAGGATAAAGAAGCTGCAGAGCCTTTCCACTTGATTCCTTCAGCAAATCTGACAGTTAATAAAACTCCTAAGGATTGCAAGAATGCCCATGGCATTCGCCAGTGGTGGGGACCTGATCTAGACTTGCACTCCAAGTGTTACAGGTATCCGTAAATATTAGTGATTTGTTATGTAGTAGTGTGCCTGTTTGGTGTGGTTGGAGTTTTTAATAAAATCGTTCCCATTTGTTATGTAGTAGTGTGCCTGTTTGGTGTGGTTGGAGCTTTTAATAAAAGTTTTATGGGAAAGAAACTACTGTAGAAGTACTGTTTTTAATTTTATTAAAACTCAAATCAGAAGCTCTTGCAAAAGCATCAATTTGGTGCTTCTGAGATTTGCAATGAAATGGAGAAAAGACTAGCTTATGAGAAGTTAGAGCATATTTCACAAATTGTAATGTTTGGTGCAGTTTGTGCTTTTGAACTAAAAACATCCTTCTCACAAGTTATACCAAACAGGCTCGTAATCCATTAATTAGTTGGATTTGTTGCCTTTATTGCTATAATCTTGTATTCTTGTTTTAAACTTTCCTTAAACAGGGGGTCTCAAACTTTGAATCATTAAAAATGGAGTCTGTTTACTTACCCCATCCTCCATTCTTTTCTCTAGTTCATACAC